CTTCCTTCAACTCCTGCCACGCCTTGTGCAGCTCGTTGATCAGCTGGCTGAACTCTGTCGCGTCTTCGTGGGCCTTATCGATCAACTTCTGCCCGTTGTTGCACACGGTGTTAACGCGCGGTTCGTGGTTCTCCACTTTAGTTTGCTGCGACTGGTTGTTCTGCTGCAACGTGTTAACCTGGGACAGCTTGTTGCCGTATTTCGTAGAGGTTGCCAGGGGCATTTTTTCGGCTATCCATAGAAGCTCGTTCTCGACATCCCGTCGGAACTGGAGGGCTTCCTTCTTCTCCAGCAGTCGCTGTCTTCCGATGAGGGGCTGCTTCATGAGCTGCAAGCGCTCCTCCACTTTGCTCTTTTTCAACTTGATTTTGTTGATGTCCTTGTCGGGTGCGGCTGTTTCCAGATGTTTAGTTTGCTTCTCCAGCTCATCGACTTGGCGCGCCTTGATGGCCATTTGCGTTTCGATCATTTGCCGCTTTTGCATCTAAATATTCACACAGGCCAAATCCGACCCCGTGTCATCGCTTTCGATTTGTTTCTCGAGTTCGTTCATTCATGAGTCCATGTCGTCGCAGGTCTGGTAAATCAGTACTTCGCGATTAGCGTCAGACAGTCGTTCACCCTTCTCCTTGGTGATTTGTTCCAGAACATCGAACTGATCGCCCAGTTCCTCAATCTTAGGGAGATTGCGGTTGCAAATTCCGGCTTCTCCTTGGCGAGTTTCCAGTTGGGATGCTCGACGTGCAGCAACTGTCTGGCGAGTTGATTAACTACTCTAGGCGCGTTCGAGTTCATCACTTTTTCAACGCTATCGTAGCGGTGTTTCATGATTTCCAAGTCCTCAACGTTCTTTAGTTTACCTTCAACGGTTGCCTGCAGGTCTTCAAATTTCTTAGCGTTGTCTTCCATTTTATCTAGCATCTCTTTGTATTTGTCATTCATTTTGTCCATTTTCCTACTGTTGTCGCTTATTTCGTCCATCATTTTCCTACTGTGGTCTTCCATTTTGTCATTCATTCTGCCAATTTTTTCGTCCATTTTCCTACTGTTGTCGCTCATTTGGTCCATCATTTTCCTACTGTTGTCGCTCATTTCGTCTTTCATCTGCATGAGCAGTGCAATCAAACTGGGGTTCTCTATTGCAGGGTCTTCCTTCTTTGATTTACTTCTTGTTTCCATCAAAATTCAACTTGGATTATGGTAAATCCCACTTCTAACACCAAATGTACCGTGGATGGCCGGGTATCAAACTCTTTCTTCAGCTTCCAACTTTTATTCACCTCGGTATAACTTTAAATGCGGAACAGGAACAAAGTAACTTCAAAATTACCGTCAACTTCACAAACAATAACAATAACCGACGGAAAACTCGCTTTTGCGACTCACGGGGTTCAACCTCTTCTGCACCCGGACGCTCCTGTCACTTCACTCCTCCCCTCTGGTTCTAGTCGCCGCTTATATAGTTTCCTCCAGGTAACCCAGAAGGTTCTCGAAATTTCCCGCTTGTCAGTCATATTTGACAGTAAATGGGGCTACCATTTACTAAAATACCATGAATTTCGATCCCCCCATTCCAAACGTGAGTACCCCAGGCCATTTCCGTTACAGTATGTTATCTTACGGAACAACACGGTTTCTAATCATACTTTTCACGCGGCTTTACGTTTGGCCGAGCCGTAGCGTATTCATGCCCCTCTAGAGGCCTGCCGCACGGTTCGTTCAGTTTACTGGTAGCCGACGTCGTTCGTTTTTTCAGTCTTTAAATATGGTCGTGTCAACCAAGGACCCGGACCGGAACGAAATAACTGTTCCGTTCCGGTTTCGGTCCAAGGCAAAATTTAAAATTTTGGTTCAGTCACGGTTCCGGTTTGGAAAATAATTTCCAATCCGGTTCCGGTTTTTTTTCGGTTCCAAAATCTATATATAACAACGAACGAGGACAAAGATACTCTAATTAGGAATCTCACCATCTTTTTCCTTGCTTGTTGTATTATACAAGATAAAAGATGCGCAAACTATCCACTGCTTCATACGGTACTTCGGCTGGTTGTATGGTAGGGGGTAGGAGTGTAGGAGGACTAGCAACCCCACACAAGGATTGAAATTCAAGTAACATTAAATGGAACAACATTGCAATAAAGACTCCCATACAAATATTAATTTAATCGTTATATTTTTGAAAAGTAATTTGTCAATGAATTTTCTGACTTTAGCGTTTTCTCTTCTTTCCGTTTTAACTCAGGTCCACAACTTCGTCAATTCCTCTTCTTTCACTCTTATTTCCGTTTAAACATTGTTTTTCCTGGTTCATTTCTTCGCTATTTTTTGAGGAGTTGCTTTTGTCCAACATTTCAATTTCAAATGTTTCTTTGTTGGTGATCGAAAAACTAAAATAATTTAACTTAAAAAAGAATTAAAAAAATAGTGTATTAACGTACGGTGTTTGCTCACAAATAATTGTTCCTCTAAAATTGTTTCTTTAATATTTGACCTCGAAGGCGGCAACAAAAATTTGAGTCCTGGGAATAACCTCTCAACACTAACTTGAGTTGCCGGTACGCTTAATAATACTTGAGCAAGCATGTATAACTCGGGATTAAGATCTTCCTTTTTCTTCCAGAAATCAAAAATCGTTTCATTTTTCCGTAAGCGTATGCGGCTTTGTTCCACTTTATAGGAATTTAAAATATTTTCAATTTTGTTAGGGGCTACAAATGAACCTTGTGAAGAAAATTCGTTCTGATTAATTCCTTCTAAAAATTTTTGCTGTGAATCTTTATGTCTCAAAAAGACTTCCATTTCATCGCTTGATGAATTAGATGATTCAGTTTCCATATCGTGTTGGTCAGAGTCACATTTAGAATTAGAAGAATTGCACTCTTAAGAATATCAGTTTAGTCCAAAACGACTTTAAATGTGCTTTTGCTCTTTCCACTTGATTGTCGTCTAAAACTATCTTATACCGAGGGTCGAAAAATATCCCAGCAAGGATTATTTTTCATTTGCTTGTAAAATGTACAGTAATTTCTTTCAAACGTTACAAGCAAAACCGAAATAAAATATTTCGGTTCCGGTTCAGCACCTAACAGTGTGTTAATGTCAAATATGGGTTCCGTTACGGTTCCGGTCCAAAAAAAAAACAGTTCCGTTTCGGTTTTGGGTCCATGACGGTTCCGGTCCGGGTCCCTGGTGTCAACTGATTAAATAAATAGTGAAAATTGATGAAAATGGACTTCGACACAGAAAAATTCATTATTTAAATCCGGAATCAACCATCCGCTTGGAATACAAAATGTGCAGAATATTCCGATAAAAATTGAAAACTAACTGCATGGGAATTAATTGTAAATGTTTATGGTGCTGAATTATCCACGGAAGAAAAGGAAAAACTAGGTAAGTTATTTAATTACTTTATTAAATATAATTATCCTGCCAGTCTGCAACACAAACAAAATTAGAGCTTTTAAAGGTAATCACAGACGCCCAATTTCCTAATTAGCCAAACACATCATGGGCCTATGCAAGGCCCAACACACCATATTGTGGATATTAAACCGCACACCACTCAAGAGTCAACCCGTATTTTTTTAGTGCAAGAGCTGGAAGTACAATCGCCTTTATCCTCAGCGGATTCAGCGGCCTTCCAGGACTCCCAGAACAGTGGATTGTCATATGTTGAACTATCTAATCCTTTGTAAGAATCTTTATGAACTGCGGTCTCTAAAATATATACCTATTTACAAGAAAGTATATGTAATTGTTTACTTACCGTAATACTATTACTAATTTTCCTTCAGGCTTAATACTATTCCAAAATCGTGTGTCTTTCTTTGTGATCAATGGATGCTCCATAATTCTTGAAATGTTTTTCAACTGATTCTCGTATACCTATCCAAAAAAATTATCCAGCACTTCGAAAAATATTGCAAACTGCTTGGTTTCTTCTCGAGTTTGCAAAAAGGATGTACCCAGTACTCCTTATTGTCTTTTTTGTTTTTCGTATAACGTTTATAGTCAGAAACCGCTAGTTCCTTCCTAATGGCCCTCGTATAATCGAAAGTGTGTTCAATGAATTTCAGAAGGAATTTGAAGACGGTACGCAGGACGTCACTTGGTAAGACTTCATCACCTCCCATTAGCGTTCGTCTTGCTGTTGCTGTGGCTTGCAATAGCGTATTATTTCTTGAGTTGTTCATCCACAAATTCGCATTAGAATAGTAGAATGCGACCTCAAAACTCTATGACTGTATTTCCAACACGTATACACAGACCGGATGTGTGTAGTATATAGAGACAATTATGTTAAGTCGTTGGTAATTCAAGTTTTGAAAACTTTAACGGAACACGGCTCAAACATTCAGCCAAAAATGGCTTGCACGCGAGTCTGGTCTGGTAATTTATTAATTACCAGACTTACCAGGGAAATGTCTTGCGAATGCATATATGGGTTTTATCAATACACCAACGAACATAAAGAGCAACTTAGATTAGATTACAATACATGTTTTCAATTGAAAACATTGGGCTTTGAAGCAAAAATATATGATTTACACATTTTTAGCATTATGGGAGATAGAAGTAGTACAAAATGATCCATGTAGAGGTGGTGCAGGGCATTGGGACTCTTTATATCGTTTCAAACATTTATCCACGGGACAGTATTTGGCAGCGTCCCCAGATGTTGACGAAGTTGATAAGTCCGACCCTAGGGAAAGTGCCAAATATCACTTAATTCCTGTGAGCCACTCATTCGAACGGAATGAGATTGCCTCCCTCTTTGAGCTAGGGCCTACAAATCTGCCACCTGCCGATTCTTTGGTACCTCAGTCTAGCTATGTTCGACTGCACCATATATTTACGGATACCTGGGTGCATTCCACATCTACACCTATAGATAAAGATGAGGAAAAGCCGGTTATGTCAAAAGTGGGATGTGCACTAAGGAAAGAAGATAAAGAAGCTTTTGCTTTAATTCCTGTCTCCCCAGTCGAAGTGCGTGATCTGGATTTCGCCAATGACGCCTGCAAGCTGCTGTCTTCATTATCAGTAAAATTATCTAATGGAACCATTTCTCATAGTGAAAGACGGTAAAATATCAGAAATTAGTAGATATCGTTTATGATTGTAAATATTATGTAACTTTTAGATCCTTAACAACTCTTCTTCAGGACATAGTTTATTTTGTGGCCGAACTGGAAAATGAACAAAATAAGACAGAAGCTTTAGATCTAATAGTTACAAATCCAAATAGAGACAGGCAAAAACTTTTAAGAGAACAGGCTATTTTAAAACAACTTTTTAATATACTGCAAGTATGGAGTAGCCTTAATTTTAAGATACCATTTGAGCTACCCCATATATTCATCATTTTAGGGCCCTTTTCTAGAATCAGCCGGAGAATCTTCATTTTTAAAAATAGATGAATTGAACGATCCTCGACATGCCCCTTATAAATATATTTTCCGTTTATGTTATCGCATTCTGCGACTGAGTCAGCGAGATTATAGAAAAAACCAAGAGTATATAGCAAAACATTTCGGGTTTATGCAAAAGCAAATAGGTTATGACATTCTTGCAGAAGATACTATAACGGCGCTCCTTCACAACAATCGAAAGTTACTTGAAAAACATATTACACCAGCAGAAATAGAAACATTTGTAGGTTTGGTCAGGAAAAATATGAGTAATTGGGAAAGTAGATTTCTTGATTATCTCTCAGATCTTTGCATCTCAAACAAGAAAGCTATTCCAGTAACTCAAGAACTAATTTGCAAAAGTGTGTTAAGTCAAAAGAACTCTGACATTCTGATAGAAACAAGACTTATGGAAGTAGAATTGCACGAATTTGCTGAGGAAAATGAGAATCTTTTAGATGATGGCATAGAACAGTTGATAACAATGGTAGAGGACTATCAAGTAATGCTGTTATTAATTAATGGCCAAAAACAATTAGCCTTGACGGACTTGTGCGCTAAAGCCAAATTAGGCAGTAAAGATGATCAAGCCATTTTGGATTATTACCGTCATCAGCTAGACTTGTTTTCTAACATGTGTCTGAATCGACAGTACTTGGCTTTAAATAATCTATCTCCACATCTAGATATAGAACTCATCCTAAAGTGTATGTCAGATGAAAACGTTAGTTTTGATTTGCGCGCATCATTTTGCAGGCTGATGCTACACTTACATGTAGACAGGGATCCTCAGGAACCTGTCACTCCTGTTAAATATGCAAGGCTGTGGTCCGAGATTCCCCCACATATGTCTATAATAGAGTAAGTATCATACATATTTTTCTGTGCAGTGATTTTAGTTTTTGTGTAGTTTGTTTTATTACTAATCTTTCTAAATTTTAGTTATGATTGTAATAAAATGCCTGATCCTAACAAAGAAGCCGTACGTGCCAAGTTTTCCTCTACAATTGCTTTTGTAGGTGGTTATCTATGCAACGTAGTTGCCAAAATGTGGTCTTTTGCCGATCAGGAACAAAATAAACTTACTTTTGAGGTTGAATTTACATTAGTGCTATAGCATGCAATCGTAACTGAAGATGTGTGGTTTTAGGTTGTTAAACTGGCTAGAGAATTAATCTATTTCGGTTTTTATAGTTTCTCTGATTTGCTTGAATTAACTAAAACTCTTTTACGCATTTTGGATTGTGTTGCGGAATCAGATTTAATCGATGGAAGAATACCTATAGGGGAAGTTGATTGTAAGTATACACTCGAAGAATTCGAATTAAATTTGTGAAATGTAAATATCATGCTCAATTGACATTACTTGTATACCGTTTCTAATTCTAAAGTCAGATTGATACCACAATATTAATATTTTTTCAAATCGGCTATGACATTTGTTGACACTTTAATTATATTAAGTTGAGAAAATAATCATACATAAAATGAATATGAAATTGCAATTGCAGCAATTTATGTTGGATAATGACTATAAATTGACAACGCGACTGCAAGCTGATCATGATCTGTAAAGTTATCATTTTACATATAATATATTTTTTTAGTTACCCTGAAACCTAAGTCATATGTTCTCCTATTGCATGCGGTGTTTGCTATGTTTTTTTTACTTTATAAAACATAAGTTAATTTATAACATTTAGAAAATTAGCAGTAAATATAGGTTCAGTGAAGAGCAATTTAGTAGTTTGATCAGAAATATGAAGAAATGTATGTTTGGTTTTAACTTAAGGTTCTGGATATTTACATTTAACATATTAGTACAGAAAAATTTTGATATTTTGGGTAACATACAATATTTTTGAATTTGTAGCCGAAGGGGGGGTTTTAAGAACTATTGGCGACATGGGAGCAGTTATGACCTCCTTAACCTTAGGACCTAACGGTAGATCTATCGCTACGACAAATGCAGGCAGTAATTCCAAATCATCTGTTTTCCATAAAGAATATCCATTGGTAATGGATACAAAATTGAAAATCATTGAAATTTTAGAGGTACTTTTATATCTTGGTAAATATGCGTTATTGTGGCACATAAATACATTTCAGTTCATATTAGATGTGCGGTTGGATTACAGGATAAGTTGCCTACTAAGTATATTTAAACAAGAATTTGATGAGTCGGAAAAGAATAGTCCTGTAAATGTGAACTTAGGTCAAAAAAACATTGATTTAGAGCTAATCGGAAGCCAAGCAGAAGGCATTTTTGGAACTAGCGAGGAATGTGCAGTTCTGGATTTAGACGGGCACGGTGGAAGGACTTTTCTTCGAGTTCTTCTTCATTTAACAATGCACGACTATCCCCCATTAGTTTCCGGCGCTTTACATTTGCTTTTCAGACATTTCAGTCAAAGGCAAGAAGTTCTGCAATCTTTCAGACAAGTTCAATTGCTGGTTTCGGATAGTGATGTAGAATCTTACAAGCAAATCAAGACTGACTTAGATGTCTTGCGACAAAGCGTCGAGAAGTCAGAACTATGGGTGTACAAGTCTAGAAGTGATGAACACGGAATTGGAAAGAAAAATAAAGAGGAAGAAGATGATATCACACCCAGCAAGCCAATGCTAAGTGTATTAGAGAAGAAAGGATCTGCTATCAATTTAGACGTTGGCCCACTTTTACATCCAGAGCAAGCAGAAGAATATAAGAAAATTCAACAAATTTTAATACGAATGAACAAGTTGTGTACTCAAGAATTTCCGTCGGTTAAACCGAGAAAACATGAACAAAGATTGCTTAGAAATGTTGGGGTTCATACTGTGGTTTTAGATTTATTACAAGTTCCATATGATGAGAAAGAAGACATTAGAATGAACGAACTTATGCGATTAGCCCACGAATTTCTACAAAACTTTTGTTTGGGCAACCAACAAAACCAAATCTTACTATACAAGCATTTGGATCTTTTCTTAAATCCAGGGGTAAGTCAATTACCATTACTCATTTTAAGTAATATATTGCCTTATTTCATATGAAATATTTTCCAACAGTAATGAAATACTTTATCAGATCCATCAATAAATCAGCAAACCTTTCGAAGAAGCTGATACTATTTCACCTTTGCTTTCGTTTTTGTTAATTGCTGGTGACCCACAACAAATCTAAGCGAAATACTATTTTACGTTTTTTTGTCTTTTCTAAAATAAATTTTACGGGATATTTAGCTCTCACTCTATGAACTTACTAAACTAAACGTACTTCTTTTTGTATCATCCAGATTGAGTATGAGAAATATTATGCTTAAACTTCGGGTAAAAATATATTCTGCTGTTTCCGTAGAAGATAACAATTCTGTCTGTGTTTGAGCCCGTAACATTGTGTGGTTTTTGCGATCATTGGAACGACATTTTTTTGCCTTTCAGATTAGAGAAGCGCAAACTGTATGTGCAATTTTCCAAGATAATCCTACATTATGCAATGAAGAAAATGAAAAAGTGATTCAAGATTTTGTTCGATTTATCGAAACTCATGGGCGGCACGTGCAGTACTTAAAGTTTCTGCAAACTATCGTCAAAGCTGATAACCAGTTTATTCGAAAATGCCAGGACATGGTTATGCAAGAGGTAAATAACAAAATTATAATTTATGAAGCCAGACAAATTCTAATTGGACTTTTGTTTCCAGTTAATTAATGCAGGAGAGGAAGTGTTAGTATTTTACAATGACAAAGCATCCTTCAATCATTTTATTGAAATGATGCGCTCGGAAAGACATTGTATGGATGAAAGCAGCCCTTTAAAATACCACGTAGAACTTGTAAAACTTTTGGCTTGCTGCACCATGGGGAAAAATGTTTACACTGAAATAAAGTGTCACAGTTTACTTCCTTTAGATGATATCGTAGGCATGGTTACTCACGCCGATTGTATTCCAGAAGTCAAAGAAGCATATGTTGGCTTTTTACATCATTGCTATATAGATACTGAGGTTGAAATGAAAGAAATATACACCAGCAATCATATGTGGACTTTATTTGAAAAGTCGTTCTTAGTGGATATGGCTGATATAGCTACAGCCCCTAGCGATAGAAAGCATCCAGATAAAGCTTTGGAAAACTATGTGACCAATTGTGTTATGAATTTAATAACAACTTTTTTTAAAAGCCCCTTTTCCGATCAAAGCACCACAGTTCAGGTAAGATGCTAATTTAAATCATAGATCAAGCTTTCCAGTTCTAACATGCAACATATTTGTTTGTCGCTTGCACTCATTTAGTTTAGTTTTTTATATTATGGGAAAGCGTATAAGGTTGTCAAACTTTTCTGATAACACTTGAGTAATGTGTAATTATTGGGTATATTGTTATAAACATCCGAATAAAGCAAGGGTATACTGAAGTTATTCTACTGGGGACGATTATGAGTTAATTTCAAAATTAAATTGAAATATAAGTAACTTTTGTGCATTGACTGTACTCGATATGGAGGCGCGACGATCTTCCCACTCTATTTCGATGCTAACGGTCATCATTTCCAGAATATTAGAAGGCTGTTCGATCTTTTGGGTACAAGGCATCTCGTCTCACTTATTCCGAGAATGTCCGCGATCATCCTTCTCATTTTCTGAATAGCATTATCAAGTTTTTGGCCATAAACTGAGTGGTTTGCTGGCCATCGCCATATGGAACAATATGTATTGCTGTTACAGCAGGAATGAAAGATTTTCTCAAACTTTCAAAATCAAACGTGAAACTTCATTAAATAATTCGTGCAAAATACTACCACAAAAGCTCAACAACTATATAGCGAAATCAATCAACTCATTTAACTAAGCCCTAAATATTGGTTATATGGGTGTAAACCTAATCTAGGAACTATAATTTCATGGTTTAACATTTCTGATGCAAATATTATTTTTGTAGACTCGGCAACCGATTTTTGTACAGCTTTTACAATCAGCCTTCAGGGTCTCCCAGTGTCTTTGGTTATCAGCGTCGCAACGTTTTAATGTTGAAAACTGTATTCGTACACTATCGGAAGTTGGTTAGTGACATTTTATTACAACTATATTGTAATGACGTAAATGAAATGTATATCAAAAAATTTTCCTAAATAAAAAACCATATATTTATTGAATAACCGGGGAATATTTATTGATATACTCAGTTTGTATATCTAAAGGAATATATTATGACTTTATCAATACTAATAATGTCTCAATTAATAATAACTTGTTAAATTTTAGCTAAACATAGAGGCATAGCAATACCGCTAGACTTAGAAAGTCAGGTGACACCCATGTTTAATAAAGCCAGTATTCTCACTAGGCAAACTAGCAAATGGTTAACTGCATCTAAAACCCCAAAAATAGAACGAACGCAGTCCACAGTAAATATTATAGTTGCAATTACATACGTATAACAAAATTGTCATCGCTGTTTTAGTTAATGAGATTAGATAGAAGTATTATAGAAGGATTACAAGACATCGTGTCGCTTTTGGAAGACCAGTTAAAGCCCTTGGTGCAATCGGAATTATCTCTTTTGGTCGACGTTCTGTACAGACCTGAACTGCTTTTTCCAGATGGAACAGAGTCGCGAAGACGATGTGAAAATGGAGGATTCATTCGAAGGTAGTAAAAAACACCAGTATAAATGTCTGTCATATAAAGTTTTACAGGTTAATAAAGCATACGGAAAAACTGTTAGAAGAAAAAGAAGAAAAGCTATGTGTGAAAGTCCTACGGACCTTACGAAAAATGATGGCTGTGGATCCAGATTATGGAGAGAAGGTTAATTATAAAATACGTGTTTAACAAATATATTTGTTACTTAAATTGACCATTTTTTTAAATGCTGCTTAGAGCGAAAGTCAGTTAAAAGATGATATGGTATAGTATTTTTTCGAGTTTCCCCTTTTCGTGTGTATCCCATTTGTAAATTTTGTAATTATTTATTACCTCGTACTGTGTGTTTTCCCAATTGATGGTACCTTTTTGAATGTATTCTTACTAGTTTCTAATACTCGTTTTCAAATTTACAGGGAGACGTTCTTCGTAACAGCTTATTAAGCAGGTATTTTGGCAAAAATTTCACTCAAAACCACGAAAATGTCACTATTGCCAATTGTCAAATACCTGTTACTCATGGACCAGGAGGTAATAACAATGTATCACTTCAGCTCTCTGGCTTTAAACCCGCTTTAACTTCAGCAAAAATCATCAGTAGAGCTGGGCAAACACTTCATGAAGTTCAAGCACATTTAGATAAAGAAGGGGCTTCAGATTTAGTCGTAGAATTGGTAATAAAGTCAGTTAATTCTCCTTCCATTTTTGGCGAAGCTGTCGAATTGGGAATAGCACTATTGGAAGGGGGTAACTCGATAATTCAGAAAAGCATGTTTAATAAACTTTTAGGGGGAGATCTCAGCCAATCCTTTTTTAAGGCAAGTGCCTTGCTTTCGAGTATATATTTGCTAATCATATCCTAATTTCAGGTATTTTACGATAAAATGCGAGATTCCCAATCGGAAATAAAGTCCACCGTCAGTGTGAATACTTCTGATATGGCAGCAAAAGTCCATGATGACAAACAAGATGGAAAAGAATTAGATAAGCTCTCTAAAAAGCAAGGAAAGACTAACGGAATACTGATAAGCGATGAACTCAGAGAAGAACTGAGTAGAGCTGCCGAGTCGACCTCTCAAGCATATACTCATATAAGAAATATGGCAACTGGAGACGATAACTTAATATCAAATGCTACAAGTGCCTTTGAAGATTTATTGGCAGAGAAACTTGAGAAGCATCGGGAAAGAGACGAGCAAAATAGTCTTTCCAATAAAGTTTTGATAATGCAGCCAATTTTACGATTTCTGCAATTGCTTTGTGAAAATCATAATCCGAAGCTGCAAAATCTACTGAGAAATCAAAATAATAAAACGAACTTTAATTTGGTATCTGAGACGCTGATGTTTTTAGATTGTATTTGTGGCTCTACAACAGGGGGATTAGGACTTTTGGGCCTATATATAAATGAAAACAATGTTTCGCTCATCAACCAAACCTTAGAAACTTTAACTGAGTATTGCCAAGGTCCTTGTCATGAAAATCAAAACTGCATCGCTACACACGAATCTAGCGGGCTTGATATCATTACTGCTTTAATACTTAATGATATTAACCCTCTAGGGAAATCAAGAATGGATTTAGTTTTAGAGCTAAAAAATAATGCCTCTAAGCTTCTTTTAGCCATAATGGAAAGCAGAGGTGATAGTGAAAATGCGGAAAGAATATTATCAAATATGAACCCAAAACAACTAGTTGAAGTTGCTTGTAAAGCATTCCATCAAGAAACTAATGATGAAGATGATATGGATGATCCTAATATAGACGATGTGGTTTCACCCAAAGAAGTTGGTCATAATATTTATATCCTCTGCCATCAGTTAGCTCAACATCATAAAGAACTAGCAAACTGGTTGATACCTTCGGATTGTTTGGATCCCAAGGTACAAAAGGCCTTAGAATACTATAATACTCACACCGCACAAATTGAAATAGTTAGGCATGATCGCACACTAGAACAAATAGTGTTTCCTATACCAGAGATTTGCGAATATATCACTAAAGATACCAAAATCAAAGTACTTAATACTGCTGAAAGAGATGATCAAGGATCCAAAGTTGCCGCTTTCTTCGAGAGAACGGACAATATGTTTAGTGAGATGAACTGGCAAAAGAAACTAAGAGGTATAGTAACATTTTCTTTGAACTTGGTGTTAAGAAAACAGTTTCTATTTTAAGCTCAACCGGTGTTATTTTGGGTCAGCAGTTACATGTCGTTGTGGAGTAATATCCTGTTTAATTGTGCAGTATTAATCAATCTTATAGTTGCCTGTTTTTATCCATTTGAACATATATTACCCCGTGAGTATTTGTTATCAAGTAAGTTTAGATAATAGTTGGCAATGTGTCAAACGATAACTCCATTGTAGAAATCAGTTCTACTATCTCGATATTAATATGGTTTGCTATGTTGGTCTCGTCAGCCATAGTGATAACGCTGCCTAGAGAAACCGGAATACGTACATTAGTAGTGTCTACCATATTGAGGCTGATATACTCTCTAGGACCAGAACCAACTTTATGGCTTCTTGGTTCAATAACTATACTTTTGAAAGGCATTCACCTAGTTAGTATAATGGGAAACCATGGTACTCTTACAAAAACATATCAACAAATTCTAACTGATGCCGAACTGGTATATCACCTGACTTATTTAGTTTTCTGTATGCTGGGACTTGTTATGCATCCATTTTTTTACTCTTTCTTGGTGGGTATATTACAATATAGATAAAAAAAATATTTCTTTGTTATACATTTTTAGTTGTTCGACGTTGTGTATAGAGAAGAAACATTGTTGAATGTGATTAGATCAGTAACGAGAAACGGCCGATCGATTATTTTAACTGCTGTATTAGCTTTAATCTTGGTGTATATGTTTTCCATTATTGGTTACATGTTCTTCAGAGATGATTTCATTGTGAGTGTTAATAAAAAAGAAGGTAACATTACCAAATTTAGAAAACCATGCAACGTTGAATCAATACATACATTTTTATAGATGGTACTTGCGAAAAGATATCCCAGCTCACAGGGCAGGGCAACAGGCAGTTTAAAAACGATGAAGTTGATAAATATTGTGAACTGACTGATTCAGGTGAAGAAAAAAAGGAACGTGCTTGTGACTCGTTAAGAATGTGTATTGTAACCACGTTAAACCAGGGTTTGCGAAATGGTGGAGGAATTGGAGATATTTTAAGAGCGCCCAGCAGTGAAGTATGTAAAAATGTATTTGTTACTTTTTATTAATATTGACATCCTTAGTAAAATTACAATTAACTATCGCAAAGTAACTTAAAGATAAAGTGTTTTCACAAATCAGCACACAATTATATAATTATTCTACTTTGTTTTAGGAATCTCTATTTGTTCCCAGGGTTGTATATGATCTGCTATTCTTCTTTGTTGTTATAATTATAGTACTTAATCTAATTTTTGGTGTTATCATCGATACATTTGCCGATTTGAGATCTGAGAAGCAACAAAAAGAGTTGATATTAAAGAACACTTGTTTTATCTGTGGTAAGTAGATTCGAAAATTCATGTTAACTATTTGAAAGTTTTTGGTAGTACCCAACAATTTTCGTTCTTTTTCTATTACTTGTTCACCCAGTTAGTCAAAAATCTGATGTTAGTACGTATGTCTTGTTCGAGTCGGCTTTTTAAATTGCTATTTTAAAATTATTGATTTGATTTATTGGCAAAAGCTAACAGTTTCTCTAATTTTTTTCACGTCATCATTTTAATTAATAAAAGGCAATGAATAGAGGCACAATAAGACTATTTATATATAGGCCGAAGCTTTAACTAATAAAAATGTACTCTTTTTGATATCCATAATTTTATTCATTTAACTAATTACTCAGTTATTTAAATCAATTTTTAATTAAATAAAACAACTTAAATATCAATAATCTGCATGTAACTTGAAAAAAGTAATCAAGCTGCATTAATAATAGTTATTATGTTTGTAGGGTTGAACAGATCAGCATTTGATAACAAAACTGTAAGCTTTGAAGAGCACGTAAAAAATGAGCACAACATGTGGCATTATTTGTACTTCATAGTCTTGATCCGAGTGAAAGATCCTACTGAATTTACTGGACCTGAAAGCTATGTTTACACTCTAGTAAAAGCTGTTAATCTAGATTGGTTTCCACGATTACGAGCGATGTCTTTAGCGGCGGTAGAAGGAGACGGAGAGCAAATAGAGCTTAGAAGTCTACAATCAGTTTTAGAAAATACTCAAAGTTTAGTAAAAAACTTGTCACATCAACTGATGGAGCTAAAGGAGCAGATGGCTGAGCAAAGAAAACAGAAACATCGCCTGGGACTTCTCAGCTCTGCGTCTACCTATCTACAAACCAATAACTTGGCTTAGAGTGATGTATTGTCTGTTAGTTGAAGTTTACGTAGCCTAGTCTTTGTCTGCAATACCTTTGTGTCGTTGATCATTTTTATAGTATAAAAATTACGTTTCAAGTGTTATTTTCCATATTAAATTGCATTGCTCCTCTTTCGTTAACTATAATTAACGGGAATGAACTTAAATGAAAATGTAAACATAAAAATGTTCCAGTAACAGAAACGTTGTTCCGGTAAGTGCAATTATCTCTTGTTTTTTCAGTTTGTTAAAAATGTAGACTGTCTTTGCATCATATATCAAGATCTGTTCGCGTCCTAGAATCCATTAAAGAAGCGAAGGAAACGTTTTAATTCAAAGCATTTGTTTATATATTTGTATTCTTGCCACCTACTACCAAGGTCAGTTAGGTCAGTTATACGTGTGTTAATGAATTTAAAATGCTCCAAGTTGTTAGTAATTGAAAATAGAAACTAAATACAAGTTTTGAATTATGCAGATTGTTATTTCTTTCCTTATCTTACATTAGTCGAACCGAAACAATACTTCTTCTGTTCAACATTGAAAGATAAATTATTCCAAACTTCTCCGAGGATCGAATCCCCAGCTGTGCACCATACACACGAATCCAAAAAGTATCGAGCTGGCAAATTGCACTAAAGGAGCACATAGATGTTACCATAGAGATGTGACATAGATAAAGACAAGTGGAGAAAAGGAGCAGGACCAAAAAAAAGGCGAGTGGTCTCCTCCAGCGCAGTGATGCCAGATCGGTAAAATTAAAATCCCCGAATGATCACTTAAAAAATTTCCAGTTTCCCTTAGATTAAAAAATACATAAATAAAGATGTTTAAAGTACAAATATGCCAGTCACTTAAAGGGAATTTCCCTTTTCGGAAAGTGCACTCTCGTCTAGTGGTAGCCCCAATATATAAATGGGTGAGAGTCTCGACAGCTCTGGCGCGGATGAATGACGCGTAGATTCAAATTTTATATTTAGCGCAGTGAAAAATTGAAGAAGCATATTTAAATAAATTGCATCCAACATCTCGCCAGCTCTGGAGCTGGTTTTTTTATCTTCACGGTTTCTGTCCGAAAGTGCCAGTTTTTGTTTAAATTGAATTAAATATTGAGGCTAACACTAGACGCGAGTTAAATAATTATGCATAAGGAAAATAAGTGGCAACATTGGACTTTGTATAATTTCTGAATCACGGATCTGACTATTGACATGCATGACACAATGAATACAAGGTAGGATCTTGCGTGGATTTGCGTGACGTCAGTGGAAAACACTGGCGGGCGGCTTTTTGTCTGCTAAATGTGATTAAATATAGCTTATTTAGTCTTTGTCACATTTAATAATTTTTTTATAAATCTTCCTTATTATTACAAGATGCTTTGCAGCAGATTTTAGACTTGAAAATTAAAAGTAACAAAAATGTATTTATTTTGTAGACTAGCACAGTGGCCAGTTGTGCAATAAAGTATAGCGTTAGGTGAAAATGTATCCTTGCAGAAATAGTACATTACGATTCAAGAGACGGAAGTTCAAACAATGACCCAATGTTACTTTCCTATTATTTACGACGAAATATGCGGTTTGTGGTGCCGCGGATGATATGTAAATTTTAATACAAATGAAATGACTGCAGACCGCATTTTTTATATTTTTGAACCGACGCTTAAAAGTAGCAAACAATCTAGAGTACACTTTCCAACTACCAAACGCAAAATACTCAGTTTTGTCTACAAAATTCTCAAACATGCGCAAGCGCATTGACCCCATGATGCAATGAATTCATTGCACGACAATGACTTCATTGTACGACAATGAACTCATTGTATGATACAATCAATTCATTGTATGAACAGTGCATTCATTCGTTGTGATACAATTAATTCATTATTTCGTTTGGCTCAACCCGATTTCTCAAATGACACTCTGGCAACACAGCACGCTAAAACGCTGAAAATCAGATATTTTGTAAAGAATTATTTAGGGTATTTTTCTTCCCAATAAGCCCAAATCAGGACCCAAAACCATATCCTCATATAACTTTCCATTTTTGAACTATTGCGTTTTGAATTCAGTGAAAATCTGTCTAGGTTACATGCATTTTAAATGAGATCAGCTGTTCACTTTACCAAAGTGGTAACCAGTGACGTCATGTGCGCACGAACATCGAGTTTTCGACCGATTAATATCCTACCTTGTATTCATTGTCATCTTCATCTATGTTCATTGTATCATGATTAACATGCAACATTGCATGCAAACGTGCCCAAAGCGAGAAGAACATAACCGCCATCAATCAGGAGGTTTAAAACTTTGAATATAAAAGTTAGTTTTATATTCAAAGGTTTAAAATAAGTGCCAACATTTTGCAAAACTTTACTGCAGTGGATCTCAGACACAATTTTGTGTGTCGAATCATGAATTATTAGTTCTTTAAACAAGATTTGACAGTACACGGTACTGGGCAATCTCATTTTCCATGATAAATATCCGATTATTTGACAACGATTTTCAAATGTTTGAATTGTCTGCAAATTTATTAATGATGCGCATTTTTTTTTGTTACATGTTGGGCATGAAACTGTCTTGTATGTATGTATGTATATATGTAAACTAACCCTGTATATTTTATAAAGATATGAAGAGGAAGAAGAGTGAATAGCGAACGCCTGATAGTGGACGTACGTTTCAAAATGGCGTTGTCAACAAAGATAATCAAAGCTCTGTTTTATTGATGTATTTATAATTTTTATTTGTTCAATACGTATAGTTTATTTAATTTCGGTGCCAAGTATTCAATGAAAGATGAACGGGTTAAGTTTCAGTGAATTTTGTTGCCTATTTTGCTGTCCACCATGCCCTAGTAGAATAGCTGCAAAATTAGCATTCATCCCACCTGAGCCAACTTACGAATTTGTCTCAGACGAATCTGGTAAATGCAGTTTTGCTTTGTCAGAACGAGCAGAGTGGCAATTTACGGAGCGGGAAAAAGAATTCATCGATGCCTTCTACACACGAACAACAAGAGGAAATAGAATAGCCTGTGTATTTTTAAGGTGCTGCAGTACAGCTAGGTTCACTATACTCTTTTCACATGCCAATGCTGTGGATCTTGGACAGATGAGTAGTTTCTATTGGGGCTTGGGGACCCGAATGAACTGTAACGTATTTGGTTATGACTATTCAGGGTATGGGGTCAGTGGGGGAAAACCTTCTGAAAAGAACTTATATGCTGATATTGATGCAGCGTGGCAAGCTCTTCGGACGAGATATGGAATCAGTCCTGAAAATATTATTCTTTATGGCCAGAGCATTGGTACTGTACCAACTGTTGACTTAGCTGCTAGATATGAAGTTGGGGCTGTGATATTACATTCTCCTCTTATTTCTGGAATGAAAGTAGCTTTTCCTAATACCAAGAGGACATGGTTCTTCGATGCATTTCCAAGGTATGTACTTAGTGTAAATAATAACTATTTTAACTTTGAATTAATTTGCATTTCCCTAATCTAAGCCTTAGTCACTGATACCGGATAACCGAAGAATGAAATCTTAAGTATCTATGCTCATAATAATTTAAGATTTTAATTATTCTCAAAATGTCTATTTAGGTACAAAATTTACCATAACAAGAGTAGATACGTTTTAACTCTCTTTCTCTAACCCACCTTTAACCGTAATAAAATGCTGCATAGAACGATTTATTTCGATTGAAATTAAACAGCATTATTTAAATTATACATTTTTTATAACAACATAAAAATTACATTTCAAAAGCCGGTTTCAATTTAACCGCTTAAAAGCCCATGAGTCATGTGCTGTTAAGCGGTGTAGCGAAGCTACGAATGAATTTGCGAACCACTACACATCACAAAACGCAACGACCTCTGTTATCTCCCAACACATTTATTTTATCGTATTATGAGTTTACTGCATCATAAAAAATGTAAAGCCTATGTCCCATGCATTTGTTTATACGATGATACGAAAGTGTTTCTATTGGTTGGAGATCTGTAAATTCGTTCGTGGTCGTACGAACTGACTGATCCCCAGCCAATAAAAACACGTTCATATCATCGTATAAACGGTTGCATAGGACAGAGGCTTTAACGCGACAAGCCGTATCGATCTCTCTGTGTAAACACCTGAAAATACTCGGAGCATTGCACAACTGACACTTTCCCTGGCAACTTTGCACCAGATAATTTCCGAGGAAGGGCTACAACCCTACCATGTATGTAAGATATACAGGACATTCGATACATTAAATCTCTGGTCTACCGAACACCGGTACAAATTGAGCAGGAGTTAATTAGCCGGATACGAGAAGTTGCGATTAGTGCACAATAATGCGATTACGAGTACAAACCTGTTTGATACCGAAATATTTACATCAATTTGAAGTCTGATCTAGTTTTTTGCAAATATCTCCATTTTTGATAAGAAGTATTTTTTACAATTTTTTCTGTACTTCCTAAACACCCCCATAGGAATGACACGAGTTTTGAATCACCCTGATGATTGTTGTTGTTGATAGATGCATTTGTTGATGTGGAAGATAACCGTTTACTTCCATTCGTCAGAATCTGGCTATGAATACACATTGAAAAATTATAAACACGCTTTAGCGGCACCAAACGATATAAATCATATCACATGCATGCACTAATAATTTTTTTAATTTTGCAAGTATCGATAAAGTTCCAAAAGTGATGTCTCCTACCCTAATCATTCATGGGACTCAAGATGAAGTTATAGATTTCTCTCATGGACTGACTATTTTTGAAAAATGTCCCAAAGCTGTTGAACCTCTCTGGGTGGAGGTGAGTCTTACATTTTAACAATTTTTGAAATTAATAAATCTTATGTGTTATATTAAATAACATCAACATGTCACCGTTATATTTGTACACAAATAAGCTTGATTCGCCTAATAAGCTTTATTTTATGTGAATTTTAGGGAGCAGGGCACAACGATGTAGAGCTGTACCCAGTTTATCTCGAAAGACTAAAACAATTTATAACCATCGAGTTGGATAACTGACAATTACTGAATGGCGAGGAGTGCACATTTAGTTCAGGAACTTCTGGAACTTCTAGTTCTGTTAGCGAAAAACTTCTGTAGCGTAAGGATGCAGGGATGACTGACGAACTGCCACTAATCAAAGGAACGTCGTCTCCCTGCAAGGTCCGTGCTCCCTCGCAATTGGCTACCATTTGCCCCGATATGTCTTGTATCGCGCATATGCATTGCCAATGTTTGTTGTTCGAGACCACATGTTAAGTTCTGAATATGATTTGTATCTGTCTCTTGTCGGAAACTTTCTAATATTGGTTACCACCTTAAGCGGTTGCGACTCTTTAATACCCTGAATGTGTTTTCATATGTAACTTTGAGGTAAATTTCAGTCGATATATTGTATGTCACTGAATGTATAATACTTTTAAATCCAGTGTTTTTTTGTAATTAGAATGTTGATCAGTTGAACTTACCTGAATACTTTTGTTTCTTTTGATATTGTCTGATTTAAATTAAATTCTTATTTGTTTAGTATATTTTCTTTATTTGTTTATCTATACAGTGCCCGCGTAAGTAATGAGACCTCTCTTTTGTTTTTTGAACCTTAATAGCTGTTGTCACAAAATTTGGGACGCCTACATAAGATCAAATTATCCATTTTTTGACATAAAAATGACGGCTGAAAATGTCAGTGACGGTTTTACGCCATTTTCGATAGATTTTTGAGTGACACCTTTTTTGAAGGTCTGTTCATCCTCCCGTCATCCTTCAATTTGTAGATCATTTGTTTTGGATTGCCAATTAAATATCTGATGAGTTTGTTGATTTTTATAACCCTGCACAAAATAGTGTTTGTACCTAAAGTAACTCCACTCTAACTGTAATTATCACATAGAGCAAGGCACACATAAAGTGAGTGCCACACACCATTATCCATTTATCAACTCGGAAAAACAGCTTAATTTTTAGGAATTCTGTTTTATTAAATGTTAAAAATTTAAAATCAGTTAGATTTATATCTTCACACCTGTAAATTTAACTGCTCTTACTTGACGCATACACTGTCTAGTACATTTTTATTAGTTTTCGTATCCAGTTCGCTTAAATATACACATTTTTTTCGTTATTTTACTGTTCGATTTTCTAGAGTAGTAACTTTATTATTTATACTGAAAGTTTTTGACACATACATATACATGTACAAGTTTGAAAGCTTGTTTCTCTTATATAGAGGAAGTATTATTTAAGATAGCTTAAGAGCGTTGATTTGAATGCAAAAATGGTTTATAAACGCACATTGGAATAAAAACGGTCGCCTGATCGTACCCCAATAGACGTTTGCCTCTGGGGATATCTCAAGAGTTACGACATCATGCAAAATTTTGAACATTTAATAAAATAGAATTCCTAAAAGTTCAGCTGTTTCTCGAAGTTGATAAATGGATAATGGTGGTGCCTCTCATCTTATAAAGTTAAAAATATCTTGGAAGGTGGAGTCGGTTTTTCCTCGTACAGTGTTAAAAAACAAACTCATCAGATATTTAAGCGTTAATCGGTCATTCGAAAAACAGTGAAACAAATGATCGACAAATTGAAGCTTGACTGAAGGATGATCAGACCTTCAAAAGAATGTGTCACTAGACCGCCCATTCCATTAGGAAAAATAAGGAGAACGGCGTAAGACTGTCACTTTGACATCTTCAGCAGTAATTTTTATGCCAAAAGATGGACAATTTGATCTTATTTAAGAGTCCCAAATTTTGTGACAAGAGCTACAAAGGTTTAAAAAATAAAAGGGGGTCTCATTTTTTACGCGGGCACTGTATATATATATATTCGTATACAACATATATGTCTGTACATGTAGAATTAAAAGTAGATTATTTTTTATTCAAAATAATTTTATTGATTCTTAAGCTATATTTTATATGCTAAAAGATAACTTTGATGACATACTAATAGTAATATTTTATCAATCATTCGGCAAGCAAGAATGTTACCTAACTGATGCGAACTGTTCAAAACATAATATAAAACAAATGGGTACAGATTTTTGGACATAATGTTTTAGTACATGTGACAAAGTTACTAAGTTTTTTAGAATTTTCTTACAAATTTGTTTATGCGTGGAAGTATTTTTCACGAAGTCTTCTAGGCACTCAATTATTTTATCCTGTTTTGTTCACTTATCACTTTCCGAGTCCTTCTATATTCTTGGTGTAGTTCCTGCAACTTGGCTCTCAGTCTATAAACTTTCATATGAAGCATTTTCTTCTCATTGTCCCCAATGTCTATACGGCCTGGTCCGTGCTAGATGGGTCATCGAGAACATACAAATTCTCGTTGGCGAAATAATATATTTTAACCAAACATGCCTGAGTAAAGTATTAGTTATTTCCGTAATATAAGCCGCTAGTGTACAATTTAATTTGCAAAAATTACTCAATTTTTAAACGCTCTTTAAACCTTCAAAAGAAATACCTTACCGGTTTTAATGTTCTTTGTTTTGTTTTTTGATGATGATGGTGATGGAAATCTTCAAATAAGATTTTTTACCAAGAAATCATAGCATCAATATTAAAAACCCTTTTAAATTAGCTGTCACTCGACCTAAAATGCCATTTAATATTCTATACTACGTTCTATTTGTTTAAGTTTAAAAAATGTCTCAAAATAAAATTAAATTGACGTGTGATATTTAAACTAAGTATCTTTGGCAAAATTTATTATTTCGCTGTTCTTTCCTCCTTTTAATTGAGCTGATGCCTCCAACTTACTCGATTGTTAAGCTTATGTTTGCTGAGTGTGTAATACGAGTGTCCTCTATTTGTAAGTAATTGTATGTTTTGCGCTTTGTTTTTCACATAAGGCGATATCTTTTTTTCGGCTTTCTTGTTTGTTGTATACCTTCGCTCCTGAACTTCTAAACCCAAATTGTGTTTTGGGAAACCATCATGGATATAGAATATGTAACGTAACATATCTTTAATATAATGCCTAACAGTTTTCATGATAAGTCAAAAATAATTTATTTTCGCACTTAAAACAAGCAATACAGATTCTTATATATTACACGGGTATGTTTACGAAGCATCCCACACAGAACATGAGCATATAGAAGACGTCAAAACAAGTTTTTTTGTGAAAATTTCAATGCCTATCGTCGATCAGATAATGAAATAGATTAAAAAATGTATTTCAACTATGCTTCAAGTATTTATATTATGCACAGGGTGGCCCGCCTCGTTCGAGGCTTTATCTCACTAGGAAACTAAATAGTGTTTCATATGCAATTTTTGGTGCCAGATTTTTAAGCGGGCCACGTGTTAAAATTAGTTTCAATGATACATAGTGCCTCAAAGAGAAGTTACATATGAAATGCATGTTTTTTAATGGAACACCCTACATATGATTGCATAATTTTATCTTCATTTTTGATACTTAGTTAATTATATGTCCGGAAACTTTAAAATTAAATAACTTTTCACTAAAATTTCTCGATAACTGCAAATAAGACACCTATACTTTTTACATCGTCAGGCGTAAAATTTATTCGTTTTAGAGTATCACCATCAATGGAATGATAAAAGTCTTAATGGAAACTCAAATAATGACTTCGTCATTAGAAGATCCTCATAGTAATCATAGAAGATGATAAATTATGTGAGATAGTGCAAATCTCGAGGTTCGCCAACCTCAGGCACCCCCAGGAGCGGTTTCTTGCCTATTTGCTCTCGTCAGCTGGGTTGAGCCTGAAATTAGCGACCGCGAAATCTGTACTTAAAGCACCCAATGTTAACACAAAGGGGTATATTAGGTACATCAAGACTTATAAGTTCTGAATTTCCAGGCAAGAATTCAGTATTGCATAAGCGCCCTTGATAAAGCTGCATGTATTATTTACAGATAAATTTCCATAATAATGGCATAGTAAATAAACATAACTTTCATTACTACAGTGAAATAAAACCTAACTAATTACAGTAATTTTTAAATGTCCCCGACTTAAAATTTTGTTTGTCACCAAAGTTGGATTAATTATTCGTTTCTTCGTGAGATAAAGTGTTGAATAAGGTGACCATGGACTTCTAATTGAAATAACTTTTGTCTTGAGATTGTCACCGCTTTAAAAAAAAAACACTGTTTAACTTAGGCCAGTTCGTATTCTTGAGGTCACTGAAAGAGGATGTTTTATGCGCTACCGTTGAAACCGTCCGAAATTCAATAGTGTCACTGGTTTTCATCAGCAGTGATCAAGATTCGCGTTTTTCCCCTTGATGTGTTGTTTTCGGATATTTAGGAGTGCATAAATAAAGTTTAAAAAATATAAATTAAAAACCGTTATATTTGCAAGCATCAAAGTAACATTCACACCGCACGTAGGCCGTGAATTAGAAGTTTTCCAACTTACAGTTGTTTTAGAAACTTCGAATTTCGTTTCCGATATAATAATGAGTCGTGCCGAAACCATGTAATTTATTTTACATTTAGCCCTCTAGCTGTACAGGGTGTACGAAAAGTATCACCCAACTTTCTTATTTCAAATGCAAACTTTAATTTTTTAGCATGGTTGGGTTGCCCTTCCAATTGCAAGTTTGGACAACCTTAGTTTTGCTAACTTATCTCATAGTTTTTGATATAGGTCAATTGTTTCAAAAAAATGTAATGGCAGTTGTTTACGGAACACGCTATATCTAAGGAACAGTTCTGAATTCAAAACCTAAATTTGGTAGGTAATTAGCTGAAACTCCCCAGATGACTTTAAGGTGCCGATTTTTGTAACATATGGGTGCTTGCAGCCTACAAACATTGATCTGAAAAGAGCTGTTTGGGCGCAGTTTAGGCTACAAAGAAAATTGATAGTTACTATTTCTTGCGCACAATTAACGTTAGGTTTAGGTTGTAGTGATCCTTTGAATTCCATTCAATCTGAAAGTTTGACAAGTACACTAAGACTCAGATCGTTTATTAATGTGATGAGATGCAATTACTACGGGATATGAGGAACTAGATATTACACCAAAGTGTTTGCGGTTAATATTGACAACCTCTTGCGTTCTTTCTCTTTTATATGAAAAAAAGTAAGCCTTGAATAGGACCTTCAATCTACATCAAATACATACATACACACATTATAAGCGCCTTATTTGATGAACGGATTGAAATGTGAAAACAATGTGATAAGTTAAGTCAGGAACTATTAAAAATATTTTTTGAGGCTACTACTGAATCACTTAGGAAATGCGCCGATGAAAAATAAATATCATGTTTTTTCCAAAAGTTAGTACTTAACAATACCAGATTCTAAACTTAACGACTAAGACTAAGATTAGTTATAAAGCTCATTAGGCAATAAATATGTAAGATTCATTAAACAATGCAACTCCAATAATCCGAATCAATGAAAACCCAGAAGCTCCGGGTTATCAAAAAATCCAAATTAGCGGATCAAAAAATTTTCTAATATTTTATTACCTGCGTGAAATGTTAGTAATGTGTCTGTATTTAGATAATAATACAGAGTTGAAATTAAAGATGTAAGTCTTAAAAAAACGTGATATTTTTCGTTGCTTCACTTTCGTCTGATCAGTCAGAAATGCCATCTCCTTTATTTAATCTTTGAAACATCATGAAATGAGACTTCTTTAATTTCTGCTCCCTCCAAGCATCAACTAAAAGTTTTAACGGCTTCTTCATCTTTATTTTTTGTCTTTTGAGTTAAGCATCCTCGGAGTTCTCACCATCACTTGCATCCTCTGTTTCGACTTCATCTACAGGACATCAAGCTTCATAATTTTGATGTGTTTTTGGGCAAGATTTTCTAGGAAAGAGCCGACTTATCAGCATTGATACCATACTTGTGGCATCGTTAAATTGAAACTTAACATTTTCGTTTTCAATGTTGACATAAAATTTCTTATCCAAACTCTGCTTGCAAATATATAATGCAATGGAAACTTCAGTTAGGATTGCTGAAGAATCCGAATTAGCGAAGGTCCGGATTATCGGAGTTGTACTGTAATTACGCATTTAATTAAGTTTGAGAATAGTCATTTTCAAATTGACAATGGCAGTACCATTATCAATTTCAGTCAGAGGTTTTCTGTGATCAATCAGCAGTCAGTACAGTTTGAATGTGTGCTTTTTTTGTAAAATCAGATCACATTTTTGACAAAATAATGGTGATATGTGGGTTCGCTGTTAATACGCTGTTATTTTCAGAATTTTCAAAAGTTGTATCGTATTGCTATTATTCGTCAAATTTATTTTCATAATAATCATTAATTTGAAACATTTTCAGGTCAACAAAAAATGTACTTAATACATATGTCAAATATTTCCAAACAATGCCTTTTTCCCTTTCTTGCAACCACAGGCCATCTATTTATCTAATGGAGGGCTCTTGGGGACAGCACGCATACATTCTAGGGTGCTTTGCATAGATAAAGACGAGTGCTTTGTACATAATTCTTTTTTTGAGCAAGTATTGTTCTATTCTATTAAGAAAGGAGTATGTACTGGAACAGAGAACATCCTCCAACAGTGGGTTGTTCTCTGTTCCAGTCTTCCAATGGGGCACAGAACATACCCCCGTAGGGGGGATATTTTGTGCAATGGGGGTGATAGATAATGCTGACAGACTTGCCCGAGAGGGCAGCGGCTACACAGATAGAGCTACAGGCCACAGAACATAGACTCTGTGATCTGTGGTTAGAGCCGGCAGCACAGTTCTTTCAAGCCACAGGACATAAGAATTTCTCGATGAGCGAGCGCATACTCCTTTCTTAATAGAATAGAACAATACTTGCTCAAAAAAAGAATTATGTACAAACATGAGAACATCCTCCAACAGTGGGTTGTTCTCTGCACTGGATATAATGATGTCGATCTTTACTGAGGACAAAAATTTCAACGTCTCATTAATCCTCCAATGATGCTGAGTGCTAGAAATCTGCGAAATTGAACCCAATTTTCAAAAAGGGGAGTAGACAAGAAATTGAAAATTATAGTCCCATTTCGCTTATATGTGGCTTGTCTCGTCCAATGAGGTTGGTCCATCGTAACAAATTTAACATACTGTGCATTCTATATAAAATTAACGCACTCTATATAAAAATTTAACAAATTACATACTTCTTTCGTACATTCGTTAGCTTTATCAGGTACTCAGAAAACTTTCTTCATAAAAAGCTACGTACCCCAAACTGTTTTAAATAATTTTATCTTCATTTTACTTTTTCTTTTCAAACCATTATCACATTTTGCGAAGTGTTGCAGCAAACAAATTGGCACGGACTTCTATTTACGAAACTTATTGCGATTTATTTTACAAAAATACTTATGGCTTAAATTACTTACTAATTACTTAAATACGGCGCTAAATGTAAATTTTGAAACTGCGCCCCATTCCTGCGCCTATACAAAAACTGGGGCTACCACTAGACACCGTTAGATATAATGGGGATGTTCTGTGCATTTACACAGAACATCACAAGGGAGATATTCTGTGGTTCAGTTGTTTATCGAGTGCTGCGCGGTGTCGGATGTTTTTCTAGTGAAGTTTACATGAATAAATATAACCTCAATTGTGCTAATGTTTAAATTTTTTGTTGAACGTTCAATTAATTTTCATTCAATATGGAGAAAAAGCTCAAGTGGGAATTTACCAGTATATTAGTTTTTACGTGCATTATAAATTTATGGAATGTTATTTTCGCGACAGGTTACAAAAATTGCCATCATGTTTATCCCAAACATCACCAGGTGAGTCCATAACAACAATACTTTTTATCAGCTAAGTATACATACTTTTGAAAAGGGGCTGTGATTTGTTAAGTTATTTAAAGCCGTTTAAGTAGAAGAAATGCACATAGAAAAACTGATTCAAACGTTGGGGAATAAAGCTTTATAGATGTGTGTACTTACAGTAAATGATGAGAGTACATCGTTATACCTATACTAAAATGTAAAAAAAACCGTAAAGTAAATCGAAAACAAAAATAATTGGGCAGTCATTAAAAAACTATTATGTAAAATAAACAAAAGGTCCTATAAAATCAACGATTCATCAAGTAGGTACAATCATCATTTCAATCACAAAATAAAATGCTGCCCGGATCCAGACACGTGAAAAACAACGCAAAACCTAAACTGTTTGGCCATGATCACACACAACGTTTTAACGTGCTATATAAAAAGTGCAATTATTTGGACGGATCCCAGCCCCTAAAAATCCCTAACACGAATAGTTGAGCAAAAAAAATTGTTAAATTGTTAAATTTGAAAAAACATCCCGACATCTAAATGGTTTGGCCAGGATCACACGCAACGTTTTAACGCGCTGTCCTCCAATAAACAGAATTAAATGCAATTATTCGGACGGATCCCAGCCCCTGGAAATCCCTACTACAAATCGTTTAGTAAAAAATAATTTGCTTAAATTTTTAAATTTGGAAAAAACAGCCCGACATCTAACTGGTTTAGCCAGGATCACACGCAACGTTTTAACATGCTATTCTCCAATAATGCAATAAATAGCAATAAACAATAAAACATGCAAGTGTTCGGGCGGATCCCAGCCCCTGAAAATCCCTAACACGAATCGTTTAGCAAAAAATCATTTGCATACATTAAAAAAAAAACAGGTGGTTAATCGCCTCTGCGAAATGCATATACTTATGCCTTATACATACATGTATGAATGCTGGTTAAAGAAAAAAAAATTGGAAAAACAGCGCAAAATCTAAATGAGTTGGCAGGGATCATGGTGAAAGTAATGCTAAACTTACCGAAAGCTGCATTGTACCACCTGGAAAAAAAGAACAATTTGTATTCTTACATAAACTTAGTCGAAAACCCAGTGATTTAATTGGAAAGAAAAAGAAATAGGGAACTGAATAAAACTTTAATATTTCTGGAAAACTCAACTCAGTTCAAATTAAGGGTTTATAGATTAATAATCCTTCTGACCTGCTTTTTGCAAACTGGCCTCATTCTCCACTTTCTATGCATTGGACCTAAAGGCACACATTACACTTGAACACAATGAATATCGAGACGAAGTTGAAAGTAAATGTGGATTACACTCCGCAATTAACAGGTAAGATGATCGACCGTACTTGCCTAAATGGCACTAAATTAATACATTTATCCCTTATTTTTATGAATAAAGAGCCGACGACCGATTTATTCCCTTGGCTATAATACACTGAACCAAATGTTCAGCTTTCCGAAAAAAATTCGTGCGATATAAATGTGTTTATCACATTAAAAACGCACCGAGCTACAGAAATTACATAATGATATAATCGTTTGCTTGCTGGCCCTTCGGATTACTACTTGCTTTACTATGTTGTTCGATTTGCTTTGTTTTCTCGGCCAAAGATAAACAAACATTGCAGTTCATGTGGCGACTTTTGTATGCTACTCCGATCTCTCTTTTGTCAGGTCTTCGATCAATAGTTTGCTCAATTTTCAAGAAGCTTGAAAATTTTTTTGCTCGATCTATTAGAGAGGCTATACAATTGTTAGTTGATCCATCAAAATCAAAGTAAAGCATTCACCAGACATGCCATGATTTGTGAATGCTTCATTTTGATTGCACTATTAAGAGCGTCGGAACTTGATGTTCACACGAGCTCTCAGATTTTGATAAGGATTCTGATTAGGATGTTGCTCCATTTTTATGAAACTTTGAGTTTGTACAGCTTGATATGCTGTGGAAAAGCGGCCTAAAGGCCATATTCACATTCAAGTCAGTTCAGGATTTATGAATGTTTTTCTCACAACAAAGACATTTTCGATAGACAAGAGTATTACATACATGGTTTAAAAAACATGGTATACAGTTTCATAATATACAGGGTCTCCCTGAAGTTACTATACAATGCTTAACGGCTTAACTATAAATTATATACCTACCCGATAGTAAGACAATCTAGGCAAACTTAACTATGTCAGATGTTGCTTCATTTTAGCCTTACATGGCGACAAAGTTCTCAAATTATTATCGTTTTTTCCAAATTTCTAAACCTGTATCGATTTACATTGATTTCAGAATCAACAGTTGATGCACAAATTGATGCGTGAAATTATAAAAAATGACGCTTGGTCGTTAATAATTGTTCATATTTTTGTTATCGCCGGTACAAATAATTTAAAAAATGTCTGCTATTAGCAGATTAACTGTGTTTAACTGATTATCTACAAGCTTAAGTTGTCGACGTGTAAACTCTACAGCTAAATTTTCAAACTGTATTAAGTACATAACTTAAGATTCAATTTTGTCCTTTGCAATGAAAGCCTTGTCGTTAGCCTTTGAA